TTATCTCAAAATCAAACCATTGTATAGTACATACACCTTACTAAATTCTTTTTTTCATTTCACTACGAGCGAATGGCCTACAACTAACAAAACACAATATTGTGCTTTCAGGTAGCTATAAATCATTTTCAAGGAAAGAAAATCAGTCTCAAATGAAATATGTAAGCACTTAAATTGAAAATCGTTTTTATCAATCATTGTTGACAATTGAATATTGTAATAAAATATTGTTGGTAACAATCGTATTTCGAGTTGTGTCAAAATTTGAAATATTATATTTACGTATAAAAACGTGGGATAGATGTATCATCATCATTGTATTTATTCGATTTCAGATATCACATATAACGTTGTTCTTTTTCTATTTTTTTTTATTATTATTATAATATAACAAATATTAATTAATATTATTTAATATCCATTCTTCATACTCAAAATATTTTAATTCCAGAACGAAAATTATTATGCACGTTTTTAAAATCAAATATATTCCATAATTTATTATAAGTTTGAAATACAAAAAAAAAACAGTATAAATAAACAATTTTTAAACACTATGATATTATAACATTAGCCTTCATTAATAACTAAAATGTACTCTATACAATTTTCAATCTGCAATGTTATTACCAAGTACAGCTTATGTTATATTTTCTATCATGACTTTATTTTATTACTTCCATTAATTATAATAATAACAATAACGTATTATTTTAGAATTCCTATATTTTATTTTAATTAAGCACCTATTAGTTTTTTGTAACATATCAAATTCATTATTTTTTGACAATCTGTTTATTTTAAGTCCTTATTTTTCTTAATAATAAACTAAAAAATGTATAATAAAATATTTCGAATGATAAGTGCATAATATATTATATTATGTCTTATAGATTTTATACAAATAAATTCAATTTTTTAATATTTTCAAAATAAAATGTATTAATTGTATTTAATACTATTTTTAACCTTGGCTTAAAAATTGACAATATTTCTAGGAATTATAATTGTTATAATCTGTACGCATAAATTACAATATATAGAATATGTTAAATAAAGGTATACTTACTTTGTCGGAAGAAATCACCCACTGATGACACTACGGATCTAAAAAAAATAACAATAATTCAATAATAAATATTGTTGTACTCTATTACACGGCGACTTGTATAGGCAATTTTACTTCACGGTTAGCTTTAGTGTAATTAGTTTTTTGTCAATTGGTTAATCAATTTTATTTTTTAAAATTGCAATTAATTTTTTTTTATCAAAACATTGTTCACAAATGTGTTTTAAAATTCATGACTCATTAGTTTAAAAAAACTGATCATATGAATATTTTTTCTTATTCTTTAAGTATTATAATTAATAGTACACTTGAATTACAGGTGTAATTGGTGAATACAATAAGAACATTTTTTGGTCTACCTTATTTGTGGTCCCAGAATGTCCACACATATTTAATTTAATTAAACGTTATGTGATATTATTTAAAATTTATAAAAACTGTCAACAACTATCAGATCATCCCCAACACATTTTAAGCACGAAACATAAATTATAAATGATATACTCCAGTGACATAATATAAAACGAATTATAAGTTTTGTAACTCTGAAAATTAAATATTATAATGATTTAAAATAAATAAATAAATAAGAACATTTAATATTTTAAGTATCTTTTACATTATGTGCTAAATGTATACAATCCATATTCATGACTTCATGCAGAATATTCTACCGATAAAAATATGACAGGATTTGTTGTATTGATATCATAAAATTGTTTAAGTTTTTTATTTTATAAAAGTGTTATTTTATCATTAAATAATAAAAATATGATATTACATAATATTTACTCTAAAATAAGAAATTCACTGAACAACTTATTTAAATAATCAATATATAAAAAGATGTGTTCTTATCAATAACATTGCAAATAGTACTTTTTTATCTATGTGATTTCAAATAATTATTGTTTTAGTTATATAATAAGCACTATTATAGTCTTACCACTCTTACCACTCTAACATGTCAAGTGTTGACCACTAGAGCAGTCAGCGGGCATGGCATAACAATGTATCTCAGACCTTACTAATAGTTATCCTCAAAATCCATTTTAAATAGAAAAATAATTTAGTAAATTGAAGTTATATTTTTAATTTATATTTTATTTTTTTTATTTCTAGTCAATTATAAATTGACTAGAATATTCACATCCACGGTCGGTTCACTTTGCCCTATTATGATTTCAATATTATTTTGCCACAAAATATCTAGTTTGTGTACAAAATAATATAATTTATGCCTTACTAAACTAGTATTATTTATAAATACTCGTATAACCGTTATTTTATATTCTTATTATTTGCCCTTCATTTATAAAATATTTAGTCTTAACAAATATGTGATAAAGTTTCGTTCAAATGGTTTTGTTGCTTGTGTAACTTTATACTGTATTGAAGTGATTTTTATTTTTTTTCGATAATCATTTTTGCACATTTTAATTTTGTATCTAGGTCAAGAAGATGCAGTTCAGAATCAACAATATTAATAATATAATTCCATCGATTAATAGAATGAATAATTAATTTTTGAAACGGACTAATATAAGTAAGTGATCCTCAAGTTGTCACCCAACATAATAATAGCTTCATCAGATAATCTGAATAATATGGTTTAATACAATGTAGGTAATGTTGTAATATATGTTCAATAATCACGAAGGTGTAATCTTTTTGTTTCATCAACGTTTTATGGTGACGTACGATTGATGTCTCTTAAATGTTTGCAATACACAATAGTGTTTTCAATAAATTTGTATATTTTGAATTGGTATAACAGAATTTGCAATACTCGGAAGTATGATTCTAGGTAAGTGAAAATCTATAAAATAAAAAATCAAGTAGGTATAAAACTATAATCTTTAAAATGTGCCATTGATAAGTTGGAGAAGTTTAAACTAGGTTGAGAATTAATTTAATGACAATAGTGTTCATGAACAAAATTTACTTGATTGTAGTTTATTTGCGGATAAATATTGATTTTATTCATTTATTAATGTTTTTACATTTAAAAATTATTTAAACAAAATACTTAATAAAATGGTTAATACTAAATTCTAGAATTCACAATAAAATAATTTTTATATTTTATGACACTATGCAATATTTAGATTCACAAATTTAATTTGACTTGATTAGGGTTTACCGTTTCTGTAGATTTTTGTGATGAGATTAAAAGGGTTTAGGTATAAAAATTATGAATACTAAGATTTTTCAAGGTTTTCCCATTATAATTGCTCGTATATAGATTAGAAGACCGTCTGTTTAACAACAATTGCATTTATTACTATGAAACGCTTTTATTATTTCCGATAAATTAAACCATTCTCCCTGCGGTGTTGCCTAAGTATTTATGGCTATTCAAATAAAACAAAAGTTCCGATAAAACGTTTAAACAAATTAAATTTTTAACGATACAATTATACACATTACCAGATTACCTAGTACCTAATAGCTCATAAAATCGAGGTAGATACTCAGATGAAGGTGGAACTCATGAATTTCTTTGCACATATATCAATTTTGAAGACTGCCATTTTGCGTCGTGTAAACAGATATAGCAAAAAATATCGTATGTGTGCGGTGTACAAACGTTTTCGCTTGACACACCAACATGAATCGTTGTCCGTTGAGTGTTTTTATTGAAACATAAAAATAAAATTTATCGATCGCGAATAATAATGGTCAAATTATTCAAACATTTAACGAAACGTTCGCTCAAATATTAAATCAAATTGAAGAGAACCTCGTAATTAAACATAAATATGTAAAAGGGCTGATGAATATACTAAAATATATTGTACGAGTAAAATAATGTTCATAATTTGACTTCAATTAGTGATTTCAAATAGAATTCTAGTAGCTCACAATGTAATATTATATTGTGTTAGTTCATTACATACAATTATTAAATTTAAGACTTATTTTAGAACTGATCGTATAACTTATGATAAAAAACGTCACCCAGGATACTATAAATATTAAATATTTACATTATTACTATAGCAGAATCACTAAAATACATACGTTTTGTTTTCAAAAACCTTTTCAAGGCACATGTAAATTTAGACATTGTCGTATATACTTTTGATTAATGTTATAATAAACAAAGTTCTGAAACACGTATAATATTAAAGTCACAATCTACGCCGACGGTAAAATAAACTTCTTGAATATGTGTTAAACATGGCGAAACTACTCCGAACATGTAACTAGTTAATGTTTTTCTAAATTATTCCTGAATCTGATGCACACTTATTGAGCTATAAAATAAAGTGAAGCGCTAATGATGCAATTTAACTAAAGTTTTCTATAAAATGAAAAATTGCCATACGTTTGATCTTCTTAATCACAAATTTAAGTAGTTTAGCAATCCTAAACTAGGTAATTAAATATCTAAAATTCAACATTAAGATTCCCGTTGTTGTACTAATATGCCTGTTACATACATATATCTGTCATATCTGTCATATAACTTGTGAGACCAATAAAATGTTTGAATTTATTAAAACTAACTTTTTTTCCACGCTCTTAATTCTTAAAGGTAAGTTTTTTTACAGGCACACACAGTTATAAATGTATAACTGGTGTATGATAATTTAATGCTTATTTTTAATTTCATAATTTCATACATGCAACATAATACTTCTTCGTACAATGGCCAATTATTATATTACCTATAATACCATTGTAATTTATTTGTATTTTTGAAAACCTGGTTAGGTTCATACAATGTAACATACTAAATATAATTGGTTATTACTGATTATTATCCATTTTGCAGTTTAGACACTTGGATACAAAATTTTTTTAAGTATAAACAAGGAAAATCCCCGTACATAATACTTATTTTTACTTTTTACAATATATTATATTTTAATATAAGGATACACCTACATTATACATGGAAAACTAAAAAGTAGGTACAATATGATTTAATTTGGACAGTATTTATTTAGCATTTACATTATGCTTTTGTGTTGTTTTTTCATCACAAAAAACCCATGAAATATTAATATTGGACTTCTGAAACTAAACCTAATCCATATAAATGTGTTATAAAATATAAGATAATTTTAACTATAAGTGACAATCTTGAGTATTGATGGATTATTATAGTAATTTCCTAATTTCTGAGAAAAATTAATAAATTAATAGTAATATTGATCGTTTTATAGATGTTTGTAAATAAACTATTGCCAAGTTTAATTAATTGTAGTTCATATTCAGGGTTATATTTATTTAATTAAATTTAAAGTTCATAGTTATTAATACTTTTTATTGATTTTTCATTGCTTCATCATTTTCATCGTCTTCTTTAGCTGCTTCTGGGTTCATTTTCTTTTTAAGTTGCTTTATTGCACCTAAATATTCGGATGCTGCAATATAAAAATAAATGTATGAAGATAAATTGACCAATACACAAAATTTAAAATTGCAATCACACAACTAGAACAATCATGTACCCAAATAGTACAAAGTTATAAAACAATTCAATCATAAGGTTTCGAAAATATATGGTAGTTATGTATAAATACTCTTTATATAATTAATTTCCTGCATAACTCTCAGAATACAAAAACTAAGTATTTGTACTTTGAACATTATACATAATTTCATCAAGAATAGTATATGGCAATAAGTTTTAATAAACCCACATAATATTAAAGTATTGTACATTAATGTCTAGTTCCTAGGTACAATTAATAAAAATATACATCATTCAAGACTTCATTCAAATCGTACCCCGTATGGCGTATATAGGTACTACGTATATAGTATATTATTGAAGAAAACCCATTCAGGGAATCCAGAACTTAATTGTTCTTGGATTCTAGAATTATTTAATCCACAGTTATACAGTATTATAAGTTAATACTGATTTAAATAGAATACAAAATAATAAAAATTTCACTACGCAATCGAAATAAGAACAATACTTTTAAATAACTTATAATAAAACTCAGTTGTCACTTTTTAACCTTTATGCGTAATATAATATAACAACTATTGAAAATTAAATAATTATACACATTTCTATAGACACATTTTATAAATACATTTAACACAAAATATTATATTATAGACCTTTGTTGAACTTTTATGAAAAAAATTAACAACAAAATATTAAACAGTTTAAAGTTCATAAGACCCTTTTTATAAAAACTTAATTTAACTCTGAATAGTAATATACTTTAACATGCCTTATTTCATTCAGTTATACCTTTATTATCAGTACAAGATCCGTCTTTACTTTTACCATAATTCCGTCCCCGACAGCACAGGGTATCCACCAAAAAGGTAGACGATAATGTATTCAGGTCCAATGGGATTTGTCTAGTTAGTCAAAATGTACTAAAATTTTGATCCAACCCCGAGCCTAGCTTCTAAGCATTCCGCTGACAGAGTTAGTGAGCGATCTTTGGTCGTCTTGAAGACCTCAGTCTGAACTTATTTTAGGGACGTCCCAGGTGCATATTATCATAATATAACGTATTTAAAAGTTGGTGAATAAACGATAAGGCGCCAGTTGGCAGTATTGTGGAAAACAGTTTCTACCCGTTTTTTGTTTTTTGAATGGAAAAAGGCGCATAATATTATCATTTGTGATTTCATACTTGAATAAATGATATCCTAACAGTAACCACCTTAGACCTAACAATACGTAGAACCAACGGTAGGTATCCATACGCCGACTTATAATATTACCTACCTGTAAGATATTGTTGAGAATTACATTTCAAAACATTACCCGCGCATAATAGCTTATCACAAAAACCAAATATCCAATACGTATGGTGTCGAACATATGCAAAATTATTTCTTAAATCTTAATTGTATAGATACATGTTATAATAAATCATATTGACCAATTAAAGTTGTAACGATAACAATATGGACGAACAAAAATTACCTTTAATTTCAAGTTGTAGGTTACACATTTCTAATATGTACAGATAGCATACTTCAATACTTGTTACGGAATATAATCAAATTTCACTTATTTGTAATAATAGTCAGTTCAAATTATTATTTATTATACTTATCAAAGTATAATCATATTTCTTAAATTACATGTGTATATACATATATTATACTGTTTTAGTAATATTGATTTCATCCATGGTAATTAACACCATTTATCTGTCGATTCTTTGGATACAGAAGTACATTGTTTTTTTTTATATATCAATTGAGTAATATTTAGTACGTCCATGTTAATAAACACTCTTTATTTGTAAGTGTCTAAACATGTAATTCAATATTTTGGTGGTCCATAGTCAACAAAAGTGACCAATTATAAATGGATAATACTATGTTTTATCAACTTACTGCGCTACTTCAAGTTTAAGTGGTTGTAGATGATCGAATAATATGAGATATTTATTTTAGCTGGTAATCAAAATATCTAAGATCGCCAATTATGAAATAATAATTAAAAATTCTATAAAAATTTTAACATGACTATTAGGAGCTGAGCTGTTAAAGTTACCCAGTATTTTTTAATTCCTAATGATGTATTGATACTGTGTCATAATAAATGTATGTATTTTAATTTTATAAATTTACTTATAATATATTAAGTACCTTGATGAATACCTAAATATTATTGTCTGAAAACCAATTAATTACACTAATGTAGAATAATCAAATATTTGTATAGGCAAATTAAATACAAAATAAGAATTTTGATAATATTATTGATATTACCAAAAAAATACAATTGAATTATAACTGATAACTGATAGGTGTATGACATACAGCTATTTTATCTTTCAAAGGCTGACATAATATTATGTTATGATGAAATAATTACCATACATGATGCGTAATATTATTTGACACACAAACTGTGTTCGAAAACAACAACCGTAACTACCTATCTAGTTATTCCTAGGACAGTAATACAGTCTAGAGACAAATATACCTACGAATAATGTATGACTGTTATTATATCGTTAGCCTTTACATATACAATATATTACGTATATACAGTTGTTAAGTACACAAATATACTGTCATGTATGTTCCACGTTCACATCAAAATACGTACCTACTGTATAATTTACTTGATTTAGAATACCATTTGTTTAACGAGTGGTTTATTTACAATCTAACTACAAACTACCAAGTATATAGGTACATAATATGTATTATGTACACTGTACACGAGAGAAATGAAGTAAATCCAAACCACGACTTATTATACAATAAAATACATTATCGTACATAAGGAACTGATATTAACGACAAAATCAAATCAGATTATATGCGATAGTGTCATCAATTACGTTTCAAGTGTTTGGGTAGATTGTTACGTAAGGCAAATGAATATATCTGGGATATTAGACCAGAAGAGAGATCTATGCGTAATGATACGATTTCATTTGAAATGTATCAAAGAGCCAAATTCAATTACACAGACTACTGAGATAGATTAATTGGAATTCCTATGTATTACGAATATCGCCGTAAACTAATCCCGGAAATTTTACTCCTTGATACTAAATCCCCCCAATATATGTAAAATATATGGAGTGTAGGAAACCTTAACATGAAATATTGTCGACAAACCGTGTGAAGGTGGCCATTATTTTGTAGTTTTTTTTATTAAAGTATAGCCTCTTCAAAATGGAAACACGTAAAATTAAAATTACATTTTTTTAATTCGAATTGTCACACAGGATTATCGAATATGATATAGAAAATCTAGAAAAAATAATCCTGGTTTAAGGAAACGTATTAGTAACTGATTTATTTACTTTTTCAGTTCAATACTATATTGTATTTAATGAATTCGACAGAAGTAAGTTTCATGTCGACGGAAACCCTAAACTGCTTTTCGAGATTATTATCCGAATAACACGAAATGTTTGATCTGGAATCTGGATGCGTTGGAACTATAGGTTGTTAGTGTATCAAATTTATCTACAGCATAAACTATATAATGTACCTATAAGATAAATGCGTATAACTGTCAACGCTTGAAATTTAGTTTTCTATATTTCTGTATCAACATTAAAATTCACAACAGATATTGCCAAACATCATAAAATACTGTGTTTAACACATGTAAAATTGTACAATAAGAAATATATTATGACAGAATGGTAACTTAAAAAATACAGTGAAATCTCCCTTAACCGACACCTCCCAATAACTGATACCTCTCAATATCTAACGTTTTTTTGGGAACCAACTATGAACTTTCTACAATCTAAATCCTCCGAAAAGCAGAACTTTTGAATAGCGGACAAAATTTTGGTGACCTAGAGTATTCCGTATTTAGAGATTTCCATTTACAAACAAAAATAACTATATAGTTGGGTATACAATTTTTGTAAGCAACTAAAGAGTTTTTCAAATTATTTATTCTTATAACACATTATATATAGTATTCAAAACATTTTTATTGCCGGATGACTCTGAAAATAATTTTCCAAAAATAATCATTAGCCAAAGCTCCAAAACAAAAATCTATTATAGGTACCCTCACATTCACAAATCTCATACAGCATTTTTTCCGTCAATACCAATTTTAGGTAGGTTTGTGACACTTCTTCTAACATGTTTATTGCTCACTAAGGTTTTTTATATTAATATGGACACAAAAATATTGTACCAAATACTGTCGTACTAAAAATATGCAATTAAATTTTGAAAACCTATTTGTTAATTCATTAATAAACATGTGAAGTAATTAATGTAGACATTTATAATATTTTGTACCTTGTGGGACGTAGTTGTGTAAGAACCGTTTAATCAAAAAAGTGCGGAATTCTTGGTTATTAATCGCATCGGTGATCACATATTGTATGACTTCAAGCAAATCCCGTAGCTCATGTCCGCGTTTCTGGAGTTGATCGTTTTTTTTTAAATTTATTCTTCTTAAATTTATTGTTTTCTTATTTATATCTGCATTTCCCTTACCCCAGTTTTGTAATTTCTTATCGCTCACTTTTTTACCACCATCTACGTCCTACACACACGAACAAAAAAATTTTAAGTATAAATGTATTTTTATTGTTATGTGAATTATTAATTACTAAAAGAAAATTAGATTACCTGCATCATCGAAACACCTAATACGATGGTTATACATATTAACGTCATGGCCTTCATTTTTAAGGATGGGTCACAACTGTAGGTACGAGTAAAATGTAAAATATAAATATTTTCAACAGTTTCAAACAATTTTAGTAAATTTTTAAATATGTCTTTTAACGATGAAAACGGTAGTTTGTTCGATTTAATTACAAACACATGTATGTTGTTTATCAGATAATAACGTACAATAATAGAAACACACAACAATTACTGAACTCATCAAACGATTTAAATAATTATTGTAAAAACGCACAAAACACGTTAGGTAGGTACTAACTCGAAAGTGTACAAAAACAATGTTATACCTACCTCCTCAAAGATGATTTTTTCAAACATTTTTCTTTAAGAATTTCGTTCGAAAATACAAAGAGTCAATATAACATAGTTTTCATTTTTTTTTTTTTTTAATGCAACTTTTCATAAATACCTATATATCTATACTTTTTATATACAATATTGATTTTAAAATAGTATGAAAATTAAGTACACGAAATAAATTAAACCATTTTTAGTCAAAACCTACGCAATTTGTTTCATAATACGTTTCTATTGTTCTGCAGAAACTAAACAAAAATGTTTAAATCATTTTCATTAAACACTTGTGTACCGGAAAAATTACAATACAATAAACACGAGACAATTTTCTATCAGCGCAACCTTCCGATTTCACAGTCTAACAGTAAACGTTCTCTACAAGTTTTGTTGATCGGAAACCATTTCACCACAAGATGAACATTAACTACGCTCAGGGGATAGTTTTGATAGTTATTGCGTGTGTGTTACACACAGTGAGTATCATAAAATAAAATATTATTTTTAGTTTATTTTATTTTATATATCTTTCGACGATAAAACAATATTCATTCCATAATAAACATTAGTAACAAACAATACTTAATTAATACATTGCATGATAAATTCGTTTTATTCAGTACTCAACAGGTAAAAACAGGTTTACAAAAATCAAATAACCAATGATTAAGTATTATTTTTAAATATTTTTATCAAATTAATTACGTTTAAATCTTGTATAGCTTAAATGATCTAAAGTCTAAAGCGCTAAACTAATATCGTCTATGTAACTGAATAATAAATATTGACAGAACAATTCTAATACCCATAAATATTAGGGTTTCAATTTTAAAAGGTTCCCGTGCTCAATTATATTAAGTAGGTTTAATTACATGACGTGTTGTATTCAATTTTACATTAAAAAATTAACACATCATTTTTAACACATTGTATGTAATATGAATATTTAATAATGTACCTAATGAATTATTTAAGTAAATATGTAACGCACTATATTTATGAAAAGAAAAAGCGTTGATAAAAATATCAATTGCAAAATGAATAACTTTTATGTACCCACAATTTGTTTTCTGTATTAATGTAAATAATTATGTGCAGAATAGCTATTGATTCAGAAGAAGGGCACAGGTGGCTCCCCCCCTCATTTAGTTGAAAAAAAAATGTTTATAAAATATTTATGTGAGAGCTTAAGACAATTTTTTTGAGCAAAATGATTATAGTAATCATTACTTTTGTAACTAATAACTATTAACCATGTACTTTATACAATACTCAATGCACATAACAACCACTCTCGGTATTATATTTTATCTACATTGGCCCAAATTTTGTTTATTTCATTCGGATTCCAAAAAAAAGTCATAACTCATTAATATTTTTTTTATATACCTATTATAATTTCATATCCAACAAATTATGTCTTTATAAATTCATCAAATATAAAAACTGGATGAAATTACACTGGACACTACTGTTTCTAATTTTAGAGTTGTTCAAAAACTGAAAAATCAGACAAACAATTAGTAAAAGTTTCTTCCAAATCGAATGACAAAGATGACAAAAAATCACTACATGACGAAAAAAAGAAAAGTGACGTTGAAGAAATGTTATTAAATATTGCCTCTATAATACAAGAATGTTTAGACAACAGAACGATGAATAATAAAGAATTCAAAATAAAATTGGATAAATTGTATTTTAATTTGGTAAAGACATCAAGTAAGTATTAATATGTTTAACATTCTTTAGTGGCCAAAAGTCGTAAACCTTATACTAATATAGACCGGCCTTTTATGCATAGAGGGCGCATCTTGTTAGTGCACTGTTATCATAAACAATTTAAATTCATGAATGGTCAACAACCCAAATTGTTTTTGGTTGATAAGCTAAAACTGAGTAAATTATTTGACATCGCATATAAATTTTAATATTATTATTATTGACTTTATTAACATTATTATTATTCATTAACATATTATGTTCCATTCTTATTAAAAATTTCTCAATTTGTAATTCATCTCAGGTAGACGCCATTCCGGAGACATCGCCTCTCAAGTCACATTCAATTACTATGATCTTGTCCAATCCATATACATTATTTAAGCCTATAATATATACTATAAGGCTGAGCATTACGAGTTAAAAAGTTAAAGTTAAGTTACTTTTAACTAAGTTACTTAATGAGTTAATGGTTTGTCAATGTTATGAAGTAACTTGAATTAATTAACTTTATTGTCAAGTTAAGATTTTTTTTTCCTAAAATCACAGATTTAATATATATTCCAATTTGTAAAATTAACTTGATATTTTTTAAATTATAAAATTACTAATAAATTATTTTAATGAGAAACCTATAACATACTATGCTTAGTAGATAACTTTTTCATTTGGTGTAAAATTATTACAGACCCCCTAATAAAATTTCGCGACCTCCAGGTTGCGCACCACTGATCTATGCTATAGGTATATCATATATATATATATTAATAAAGGCTACATATTATCACTGTAATACACTGTAGACACTATGCAAGATAGGCATAATAATACATAAGGCATATGCCAACAACATAAATAAATTTTCAATTTGTTTTATTTCAGTACAAAAATTATTAGACAAACAATTGGTTAAAGTCAAGGACGTTCAAAAAAAATATGAGAAAGACCTCGAACTATTGAAGATAATGAACAGTATGCCGGATAATGGAAGCAGTAAAAATAAAGATAAATCGTTAAAAAGTAATAAGTAAGCTAAAAGTAATATAAAATATTATTAATACTTATATTTATTTTTAGAATCAATCAAAAAATAACCATGAAAGCAATGAAGTTAAACAAATTTTATTGTAAACTATCATACTACCTGCGGATTCATTTGATAATGACTACAATTTATATTAGGTATTAGATACTTTGTTAAATAACATAAGCCAGATAATAGATAGTTTGGATAGGAACAAGTTATTAAATTATAAACTATTAATAATTTTTCACTCCAAATTATTTTCAATTTTATGATCCATGATAGTACAGCCAATATTCCAGTTATCTTGTATTAGGTTTAATTTGCTGTACTGCGAAAAAATAAAATAAAAACATTCTCAGATAAAAATTGTTATTTTTTAATCCGTCAAAAAATCAAAACTGCAAATTCTTATAGTTAAATTAACTTTTAAGTGCAGTAGGTAGTATATTAGAACACCTATAGTAATACATACTTAATGATAAAGTCGTAGTAATAGATGGTTTAAATATAAGTTGTTCACATAATATTTTAAAACTAGAAATAGGTACTAGAAATACCTACACATTTTGTTTAATCAATAATAATTTTTATTGTTTTTTTTAAATATGAACATATTTTTAATTATGAACAATACTTTTTAAGTTCTACTGGTTGGTAAATTACTGCAAATTAAAATTAAATTATTTTTTTTTTTAGTGTCATTATGGAATAATAAATCAAATTTATATTGTAAGATCTGCTTGAGTATGTGTGATTTCTAAAAATACCAAACTATTGTTTAGTGGAACATTGATCTTTATAGTTTCATCATATGAAAAATCTGTTCATGCTCAATAGACAAGTAAACATATACAATAAAAAAATAGGACAGGATAAATTCTAGCTGGTGCGGATGTCACTGCAAAGTAGTAAATAAATTAATCACGGTAGAAATATCAAAGCGAAATAACTCATATATTGTTAATTAATTCCATGATGATGTTTCGTGTTTAAATCAGTCTGCAGAAATGTTGAGAAATGTTGAAAATAATTTAAAGTTTTGCAGTAGAATTTTATAAGTAAATTTCAATATTACTATAACCATAAGTAATAAAATTAAAATAATTACATCAAAATCTTAAGTAGAAACTAAAACATAAACCAACATAATATAGCCATATAGGTAATACAGTAAATAATTTACTCTGTCTCTAATTTGAGCATATAAGTATTAAGTATGCATGATTATATGACTAAATAGTTTTAATTTTTAACACTTAGATATGTATAACCTTGGCCTAAATTTTCCCATACTTTGCTGTAGATATTCGTACCAAACAAATCCGGTCGAGTGTAGGTCTGGTATATAGAGTAATAGTCCCTCATTTTAAAAGTTTTTCTAGTTTAATAACTAAGGCATAGGACTTGTAGCATTTGCATATTTGTTTTGTACAGTCACAAAAATAGCAGAGCACGAAACAAATACGTTTCATGATTTCACAGAACTAATTTTAAAATTGTATTTTGGTTACAAATGCATATTTTTATTTTTTTATTTTTAGGGCATATTTCTTCGATCTTATACTTTTTGTGAGATGCTTTTAATGCAATTAATAATTTCATCAATTCATTCTCCACTGGCATTTTTATTTTACATAATACAACCAAAACATAAATTGATTTTTGATTATAATAAGGTTTTTGACTGGCCCCGGTGGCTCACGTTTTTCCTAGAAGCCTGATAATTTTAAGAAAATAATAAAATACAATACTTAAAGTTTTACAATTTGCAACATATAAAACGAATTATAAATTATAAATTCAGTTAAATAAAATATATAAAATAAATAAAAATATTCTTGATTTTGTTTTTAAAAAACATATTTCAGATATATTTTTTATTTTTCATATGAATGCATATTTGTTGACTTTTTATGGTTAAAATTCCTCTGCTCTAGTAATAACTAATAACTTATATTTTCAATTTGACCCTTAGTACGCGATTGTTTTATTTTTCTTAAAAAAAATAGTTACTTTTATTATAACCACTTACAAATGCATTCAATAACAATAATTCGTAATTTTAGACTTAGGTAAATGCTAATTTAACTAAATGTACTTATACTCGAGTACCTAATTATAATATATATAAATGTATATTATATATTTAAAATATGTATACCTGTTACTCTTTATATTTTAACAACAAATAACAATTCATTGAATCCATTAAATTCCATTGCTATACGTACGCTTTATATTATATATATTAAAAAACACAAAAAATGGTTTGATTCTGCAAAATTTTAAATAGAAAAATTGGATTCCATAAAGACGAGTACTTTGATAAATAATTAGGGTTAAGCTATGTACTTCATGTACTAACTAGTATTTTAATTTCAATAGATTTTATGTAACTCGATATATCGATGTAATCTCTGTGTACATCAGGCACATATCATGTGTCAAATGATCCACTACGTATGGATTCAAATCTGAAATCAAAAATCGATGAAGTCAAATGCTTTTCTAAACGATTTCACAACCACCTAGGTACTTATACATATCCTCCAATCTGAAATATGGTGTATGCCACAATTATGCCTGGCCATACTCCGAAATGCGCAAATGGTGTCGTGATCTTTGTGCATTCTATAGAATAAAAACAAAATGTCATTATAGTAAATAGAAAGTACCATCAACAGGTGGTTATATTCGTAAAAAATAATCTTATCATGTAATATTTGTTACTTTAAGCCTATTCTTATTCTGTCAAATGATACAGATTATTACACGTAAAATATTTTATTACTATATTTTTTTATTTCTTTCCATTTAAAAATTTAAGCACGTTATCACCGCAGACGAGTAAAAACTGAACAGTTAAACTAAAATCCTTGAGATTGCTAAAAATAGGGAATAAGGATCCAAGGAAACTGTTTCATTATTTTATGAAAATTTACTTCATTGAATCATTGAAACTGTAAGTTGTATATAAAAGTAAAAGAACATAGGATAATATATGATAAAATGTAACAAGGAATAAGGAAAATATTACATAAAAATATTATAGGTAGGTACCTAAAGGTACCTTATAACAGAAATAAACGAAATGTGTAGTAAAAACAATTCGAACGCGTTCGAAATGAAGCTCAGTGTTTAAAATTACAACAACAAACAATCATTAAAAACGAGAATTTAAATAGATATTAAAAATTAAAATTGAATAACTGAAAGTATGTTTTTAGTGAAAACCTTCTTAAAATAAATACATCTTTCTTCAAATTAATGAAATATTTTACACTTGGATTACCGATTGTTCATATGAAAATCACTATGGACTTTAATTATATTTATGAACAAACTCATTAAATTCCTAATATAAGTCAATAGACTTGCTACATTTTGCTACTCTGACATCGATTGTAGTCGAAAAACGCGCAACGTGGGTCTGTATAATAGTGGGATGAGCAAAATCACTTTAATGACCCGAGTCCCGAATTCCGAGATAACACATTGTACTTTTGTGCCATTTGTATCGTGCTAGTACAACAATTAGCTCACACTAGAGTATAAATGTATAATCATGATAATATATTTATATTATATTCACTGTAATGTAGTTGCCGACAGACAAGCCAAAAACGTATTATTAACAGTTTACACGCCGTGTCAACCAGCGCGTGATATCCATCTTGACATCTTGTACAGATTATTATTTATTAATGACAAAGTTGAGTTGAAAATACTAGACGAATTATTAATAATTGTATTTCTATTTTTCCAACCAGGTCGTTTGGTTTGTGATACCCACAATATTATGGAGCACGAATGCAGTGATGTAGTGGAGTGGGAGAGGGTGGGCTCCATAAGCAATATAAGAATGGATAGGCTTTAGATCACATAGCACGGGAATGAACATTTTGATATTTTGAAGTTACACAGGCACTTATCAACTATCAAAATAATAATGAATAATCATAATATTTATTAATTGAAAGTTTATTAGAATCTACATAGTTACATAATTTAATACACATTAATTTATTACTCATGACTGAAATGGATAAACTTTGTGAATTTAGCCCGGATACGTATGTTTTAAAATCTATGTTATTGTTATTGATAACTTTTATCATTGTGAAATAAAATTAATGATAAAACCCGGTGCTCGAGTGAGAGCACTATATAAAAACAGTCTGTCTCTCATTCTTATATTTTCTATGGGGGGCTATTGACTTGGGTTAACTTTATGAATTTATCAAATTATCATTTATTTTGTTAACCTGAACACTATCGTCAGTAACATAAACCTCTATCATAAAGTTACATAAGCTATGCTCTTTCGCAGAAGTATGTGTATATTTATGCACAATTTGTTTCTGGGTACTGCTGGCTGGCTTTAGGTAATTTGAATGAAACATAGTAAAACAAGATTATTTTGAATATTGTCAAGAAACTTAAAAAAATTCCACTGTATACAATTTCAAATTTGTTTAAAACAAAGTAGAAAATCAAATTATTTTTATATTTAATTTAAAACAACTTATATTACTATAAATAATTACTAGTAACCACCTATATTACTATTACTTATTGCAACATGTACTTAGTTGACAAATTTCAATTTGAGTTACTTATGTAATACATTATTTTTTATATAAACACATTTATTATTTGTCACTTTAACTTATAAGAGCATTGAAAAATATCCTATGATATATATAATATATGTATATACTATATATAGGCCACCTCTATGGATCGAGAGGACCTCGAGAACAACAAACATTGTAAGGTTACAAAGATTTTTGTTCACCAATATGAATTTCAAATGTAAATCAAGATGTGATTGAAAGTCAATAATTAATACCACTTGACAACGGGAGTTCAAATCAAAAGCTATTATCTGTTAATTAGGTACAATGGCATTTTTCAAGCCTTTATGTTTTTGTTGATATGGTTCACAAAAATGAAAATGTCTCTCAAAAATGACACACTATATTTTTATATTTATTAGTTATACTACTAAGTTCTTTGATCACTCGATAACGTTCACCAAGTCCTGTTAAAACATGTGTGGTCAGCGATACATATAACAGATCTCTATCGGTTACATAGATAATACAACACGATGCTGTAGTCGTTTACGGGAAATATGGATGTACAATCATGAATCAACACATAAAACCTACGGAAAAAAATTAATAAATATTTAAACAAATATAAAATGAAAACTTTTTAAAAAATAATTACCCCTTGACTAAACTAAACTTTTTGTAGCTTTTTTTAATCCCAAGCTGTGATTTTTTAAATGGTTCCTATTAACTCATCATATTGTTTATACTTTATAAGACAAAATAAAACTAATATTACGAGTTCTTGAA